GTGAGATATTTGACTCTGAAATGTAGTGGAGTGGAAAAGTCACCCAAATGGAAAAACTTCAGTAAAGTACAGATACACGAAAAAACTACTTAAGTACAGAAACGAATTACATTTACTTCGTTACTGTCCACCACTGGTAACTAGTACACATTAGCTTAGCTAGCATGCTGTCTGCTCTGCTCACCACAGAACAGGTTTGATTCTGACTAACAAAAGCTTTACTGAGGCAAGTTTAGATCAGAACTCAGCTCTGAGGAAGTGAAGTCGAGCAGCTGGTGTCAGAGAGACAGAAAGCCGAAACTAAACCTGTTCTCTGGTGTCTGGAGCTGAAGCCTCCTAGCTAGCTAACCTAAAACTAGTCGGCTCTTCTCTCCTAGCTGACTTAGCATAGCTGAAGAGATCCAACACTAATGCTAATGTGGCTAGTTCTCTGTCCACAGGTCAAACCCACCACAGTACAGGCTGTTTCAGTGACTGATGCTCAAATAACACCTGTTTAGCAGATAAAGAAGAGCTCGGCGAAAGACTGGAGTTGGAGTGACAGACGGAATCAAACGTGTTTTGTGGTGGGTGGTGTGTGCATGGCTATAAGCCTGTTAGCAGTTAGCCACTTGTTTGTGTATTATTTACAGTGGTGGACGAAGTACACAAACCATGTACTTGAGTTAAAGTAGAGAGACCCAAGGTAAAATATTACTCCAGTAAAAGTAGAAGTTTCTCCCTTTAGACCTCCACTTGAGTAAAAGGACAAAGGTATTTGCCTTCAAATGTACTTAAGTATCAAAAGTGAAAGTACTAATAGATTAATTATGAATGTCCTGTTATCATTTTTGTAATAAGACTCGCTTCATTAACTCATTTTAGGTGAAAATACTCAGTGTCACTCTTGGTAAACCAGTCTTTTAATAGAGTCATTAATTAGTGACGCTGATGTCTATTAAAATCATCATAAGCACAAAACACTGAAGGCAAACAGTTTCCATCAGGTAGAACTGAGTGGCTCTGAAATCACTATTTACAAACAAGCAAAGTTTCAGTTTAAGATTTATTTGCAACTTAGTTACAGTTTAAGTTTAATAAAAACTTGTTTTAAACTCAGATTCACAAATGAGTTTCCTTTACTAAACTGCATCTGTAGGTCTCTGTTCATAAACATAAACTAGCCAAAACAAATTTACTATAAAATGAAATGTGTTTGTATAAATTCAGAATAAAGACCCGTCAGTCACAACTGCATATGAGTACATATTTCTATATTGTGGTCTATTTACACAAAGTTAGGTTAGTCCATCATTTATGTTGAATAGACTCTCCCAAAATTTTACGCTGCTGCACTGATGTTGAACCGTGTGCTGCACTGGGTCGGTATGACCAACGGGTCAAAACAAACTCAAAACAAAGTGCCGCTGTGCCCTGATTGGTGTTTTTGCTTCGCGCTTCTTTTGTTTTGACATGTTACGTTTTTTATACACACATAAACCAAAAGGAACGACAGATTTCTCATAATGTAGAGGAGTAAAAAGTGAGATATTTGACTCTGAAATGTAGTGGAGTGGAAAAGTCACCCAAATGGAAAAACTTCAGTGAAGTACAGATACACGAAAAAACTACTTAAGTACAGAAACGAATTACATTTACTTCGTTACTGTCCACCACTGGTAACTAGTACACATTAGCTTAGCTAGCATGCTGTCTGCTCTGCTCACCACAGAACAGGTTTGATTCTGACTAACAAAAGCTTTACTGAGGCAAGTTTAGATCAGAACTCAGCTCTGAGGAAGTGAAGTCGAGCAGCTGGTGTCAGAGAGACAGAAAGCCGAAACTAAACCTGTTCTCTGGTGTCTGGAGCTGAAGCCTCCTAGCTAGCTAACCTAAAACTAGTCGGCTCTTCTCTCCTAGCTGACTTAGCATAGCTGAAGAGATCCAACACTAATGCTAATGTGGCTAGTTCTCTGTCCACAGGTCAAACCCACCACAGTACAGGCTGTTTCAGTGACTGATGCTCAAATAACACCTGTTTAGCAGATAAAGAAGAGCTCGGCGAAAGACTGGAGTTGGAGTGACAGACGGAATCAAACGTGTTTTGTGGTGGGTGGTGTGTGCATGGCTATAAGCCTGTTAGCAGTTAGCCACTTGTTTGTGTATTATTTACAGTGGTGGACGAAGTACACAAACCATGTACTTGAGTTAAAGTAGAGAGACCCAAGGTAAAATATTACTCCAGTAAAAGTAGAAGTTTCTCCCTTTAGACCTCCACTTGAGTAAAAGGACAAAGGTATTTGCCTTCAAATGTACTTAAGTATCAAAAGTGAAAGTACTAATAGATTAATTATGAATGTCCTGTTATCATTTTTGTAATAAGACTCGCTTCATTAACTCATTTTAGGTGAAAATACTCAGTGTCACTCTTGGTAAACCAGTCTTTTAATAGAGTCATTAATTAGTGACGCTGATGTCTATTAAAATCATCATAAGCACAAAACACTGAAGGCAAACAGTTTCCATCAGGTAGAACTGAGTGGCTCTGAAATCACTATTTACAAACAAGCAAAGTTTCAGTTTAAGATTTATTTGCAACTTAGTTACAGTTTAAGTTTAATAAAAACTTGTTTTAAACTCAGATTCACAAATGAGTTTCCTTTACTAAACTGCATCTGTAGGTCTCTGTTCATAAACATAAACTAGACAAAACAAATTTACTATAAAATGAAATGTGTTTGTATAAATTCAGAATAAAGACCCGTCAGTCACAACTGCATATGTGTACATATTTCTATATTGTGGTCTGTTTACACAAAGTTAGGTTAGTTCATCATTTATGTTGAATAGACTCTCCCAAAATTTTACGCTGCTGCACTGATGTTGAACCGTGTGCTGCACTGGGTCGGTATGACCAACGGGTCAAAACAAACTCAAAACAAAGTGCCGCTGTGCCCTGATTGGTGTTTTTGCTTCGCGCTTCTTTTGTTTTGACATGTTACGTTTTTTATACACACATAAACCAAAAGGAACGACAGATTTCTCATAATGTAGAGGAGTAAAAAGTGAGATATTTGACTCTGAAATGTAGTGGAGTGGAAAAGTCACCCAAATGGAAAAACTTCAGTGAAGTACAGATACACGAAAAAACTACTTAAGTACAGAAACGAATTACATTTACTTCGTTACTGTCCACCACTGGTAACTAGTACACATTAGCTTAGCTAGCATGCTGTCTGCTCTGCTCACCACAGAACAGGTTTGATTCTGACTAACAAAAGCTTTACTGAGGCAAGTTTAGATCAGAACTCAGCTCTGAGGAAGTGAAGTCGAGCAGCTGGTGTCAGAGAGACAGAAAGCCGAAACTAAACCTGTTCTCTGGTGTCTGGAGCTGAAGCCTCCTAGCTAGCTAACCTAAAACTAGTCGGCTCTTCTCTCCTAGCTGACTTAGCATAGCTGAAGAGATCCAACACTAATGCTAATGTGGCTAGTTCTCTGTCCACAGGTCAAACCCACCACAGTACAGGCTGTTTCAGTGACTGATGCTCAAATAACACCTGTTTAGCAGATAAAGAAGAGCTCGGCGAAAGACTGGAGTTGGAGTGACAGACGGAATCAAACGTGTTTTGTGGTGGGTGGTGTGTGCATGGCTATAAGCCTGTTAGCAGTTAGCCACTTGTTTGTGTATTATTTACAGTGGTGGACGAAGTACACAAACCATGTACTTGAGTTAAAGTAGAGAGACCCAAGGTAAAATATTACTCCAGTAAAAGTAGAAGTTTCTCCCTTTAGACCTCCACTTGAGTAAAAGGACAAAGGTATTTGCCTTCAAATGTACTTAAGTATCAAAAGTGAAAGTACTAATAGATTAATTATGAATGTCCTGTTATCATTTTTGTAATAAGACTCGCTTCATTAACTCATTTTAGGTGAAAATACTCAGTGTCACTCTTGGTAAACCAGTCTTTTAATAGAGTCATTAATTAGTGACGCTGATGTCTATTAAAATCATCATAAGCACAAAACACTGAAGGCAAACAGTTTCCATCAGGTAGAACTGAGTGGCTCTGAAATCACTATTTACAAACAAGCAAAGTTTCAGTTTAAGATTTATTTGCAACTTAGTTACAGTTTAAGTTTAATAAAAACTTGTTTTAAACTCAGATTCACAAATGAGTTTCCTTTACTAAACTGCATCTGTAGGTCTCTGTTCATAAACATAAACTAGACAAAACAAATTTACTATAAAATGAAATGTGTTTGTATAAATTCAGAATAAAGACCCGTCAGTCACAACTGCATATGTGTACATATTTCTATATTGTGGTCTGTTTACACAAAGTTAGGTTAGTTCATCATTTATGTTGAATAGACTCTCCCAAAATTTTACGCTGCTGCACTGATGTTGAACCGTGTGCTGCACTGGGTCGGTATGACCAACAGGTCAAAACAAGCTCAAAGCAAAGTGACCGCTGTGCCCTGATTGGTGTTTTTGCTTCTCACTTCTTTCGTTTTGACATTATGTTTTTATACACACATAAACCAGGAGTAAAAAGTAAGATATTTGACTTTGAAATGTACTGGAGTGAAATTAAAAAATGGAAAATACTTCAGTAAAGTACAGATACACTAAAAAAATACTTAAGTAAAGTAACGAATTACATTTACTTCGTTACTGTCCACCAATGATTATTTATTGGGTATTTGCTGGTTCTGATTTAGTGGTACAACAGATGGAATCAGAAACCGTAACCTGTCTCACGAGTCCGGACCACTGCAGAACGGCCCTGTACGGCCCAGAGAACCATTTGGCTCGATAGTGGAAAAGCGGCCACACTGTTCTATACCATTCTTGTGACATCACATTACCTCTGACCTCTTCTAATGTCCGATAATTGCTAGTCAGCCAAAGTATCACCCATGCAAAGCACCAAAGCTTGCGTGCCAAAAGGCGAAAAAGCTATATTTTTGAGACCTTGTGCGTTTGAGCTGTGATAAAAACCACAAAAGAGCACTTGAACTTAGAAAAGACATTCTGTTCACATTTAATTTGTACAAGCAAGAGTGGAAAAGCATTACAAATACTGATGCAATATTCCTGACACAGTCTGATCTGCTGAGATCATAATACATGGACCTTTGTTGAAACAGCCACATTTGAACAGTTCCATCTTCTATATAGCAGTGAATGATGGCAAGTGATGCATTTTAACCGAAGGAGCAAATCGCAGCTGCAGGAACAAAACCTTGTATCTATTTTCTTTTTTTTTTTACTTTTCTTACATAATTAGAAAACACCAGCTGACCTGTCCACTGCATAAAAAAATCATGATGAATGGGCAAACAGAAGTGGTCCAAAATTATATTTACATTAACTTACATTAAAAGTTAGGAAGGCTTTATTCTTCTCCTGTAAAATTACCATTTCAGAGATACAAAGTTTTGTTCCGATAGTGATTAAACATAATTCTACTCATGATTGCAGTTTATTATATTTTAGCATTATAGCTGGACGATTTTCTGAGACGTGGCAGTTCAGCTCCATAAGGCACAAGAACACTCTGGGTGGTTAAAATATTCCCTGTTTTATCACCTAAAGAAGCCCATTTTCTCTAGAACAGTTTAATTCACAGCTGACGTCCTAAAAGCAGACTGCATTCTGTACAACTGACAGTATCCAAAACCAGTCTAGGTTGGCACAGCTCTGCAGGATTTAGTGTTTTATCTGCTCTGATACCACAATTCAGCTAATGATCAAACACTTTTATGACCTGAACCGAGTGGGTTTGAGCAGATTTGGACATCACTGACATAAAAAGGCGTAATGGCACATTAGAGCAGGTCCGTATCGGTACTGTAAAATTCACACTGTTTGAAATATATTATTGTGCGCTGCAAACAGGGCTGTTACGATTAATAGTTTAAAAAAAATCACTTTTAAAAAAATTACCCTTTCAAAAAATTGGCAATAATTAATTGGTGGTTTGTATGATATTAATGTATGTGTTAAATTCTCCTACTGGACACCCATTTATAAAAAACACCCCCAGGGTCATAAATGATATGATTTGTAGATTTTCCAAATGAAAATAAATGAACACATCCTCACAGGGGACACACTTAAATATGCCATTTTCCTGCTAATTTTAGTGCATAATTTCTATTTTTTTGCATATTGGAAAAAACTCATATCTAAAATGTGCCAGAGGGCATATTTTATGTTTTATTTGTTTCCCCAACATATTAAATTCAGCAAATAAACAGTAATTGAGCATTAAAATGTGCAGAAGTGTGTTCTCTGTAGATGTGTCCACTTATTTTCAACAAAATGTGGAATTATAGGGCATGCAACTTTTGCTATAGGACTGCATGTGTCACACAGTGGTTTTACATTTTAAAGTCTATTTTTTTTTCAAAAAGGTACTTTGGGATCTCTGAAAGGGTGTGCATGGTTTGTTAATCTTCAGTCAGTTGCATTTCTCTCGTTTCTCTTGTAAAGGCTCAGTTACTAAATGACTAGCATAATTAACAGTGGTGATCCTAGTTAGAAGCACCAGTGTTGGTTAATTCAACACCGACAGTGAACATCTGAGGCCTGTGGATGGAATTATTGCATTTCTTCCCTTAATCACATTCCTCAAACACACTGTGGACTATTTGTTCACGTGATTTTCATATGGCTTACATATCATATTAAGGAATGCTCCAACGCTTTCATGCCTTGGCTGACTGGCTGCTGTAAAGTTTGTGTGCCTGGACGATCTCTGTGACGACGGAAGGGTCATCCAAAGTGGAGACGTCTCCAAGACTGTCTGCTTGATCCATGGCAACCTTCCGCAGTATCCTCCTCATGATCTTCCCCGACCGTGTCTTCGGAAGTCGCTTTACCACCTGAGATGCAAGGACATGAGAGATGTTTCAAACGCTGCGCTCCTAAAAATGATGGTTGGTCAAGGGTTCTTTAGTAAAGAAAATGGTTCTAGATCGAACCACGAACACTCAAAGGACCCTTTGCATGATTAAAAGCTTCTTTGCATTGTGAAATGGTTCTTTAGACTGATAGACGAGGTGCTGTGGATGGTTCTATATAGCACCAAAAATCTTTACAATCTACAGCACATTCTCCATCAACCTGAAGAACCATTTCATAATGCAAAGAACCCTTTAATCATGCAAGGATTCATTCAGCTATGTTACTGCATCACATCCATATCCATAAATACTAACTTTATAATACTGTATCACATCACTGTCCATAAATGCCAAATTTATAATACTGTATCACATCCATTTCCATAAATACTAACTTTATAATACTGTATCACATCACTATCCATAACCTTTTATACTAATGTATCACATCTACAACCATAAATACTAACATTTATACTAATGTATCACATCCAAATCTATAAATACTAACTTTTATACTAATACATCACATCCATTTCCATAAATACGAACTTTTATACTACTGTACAACATCACTGTCCATAAATACCTACTTTTATACTACTGTATAACATCACTGTCCATAAATACCAACTTTTATACTACTGTACAACATCACTGTCCATAAATACCTACTTTTATACTACTGTATAACATCACTGTCCATAAATACTAACCTTTACACTAATGTATCACATCCATATCCATAAATACTAACTTCTATACAACTGTATCACATCACTGTTCATAAATACTAACTTTATAATACTGTATCACATCCATATCTATAAATATTAACTTTTATACTAGTGTATGGGTGAAATCTGTGTCATGCCTATACATACCAAGAAATGGTCAGGCACAGCGTATTTAGCAATTTTAGAGGCCACCAGCTGTCTCAGTTCCTCAACCACAGCTTCCTGAGTTTTAGCAGTGCTCTCCTTCAACACCACAAAGGCAAACGGCACTGAGGAGAGAAAGGGAATTATGATGTGTTACCATGAGCTGAAAACGCACAGTGCTGTACAGGTTTTCACTGGTATTTTGTTAATTTGGCACTACTAGGGCTTTTTTGTCTGTTCCAACTTATCAAACCTCAGAAAAACTACATATTGTGATACACACAGCTTAACTTCTTCAAAAGCTTAGAATCAATGATTTCAGCTGTATAAAAACAACTGCAAATAAATGGATAGATAGACAGACAGACAGATAGAAAAAACTTCTAAAATGACTCAGAAAACCGTACAGCATAAAAATTTAAGTTAAACAACATTAAAACCCAGAATGCCTCAGATTTCAAATGATCAAATCTTAAGGCAGAAAACCTAACAAGAGTTACTGTAAATGAAAAATTACAGTATATGATTTATGTTTTAATACATTGTTCTTGTTTTTTTTTAATATTCTAAATATCAAACATATTAAAATACCATTTGGTGTCTAGTTTATAACATTCAAAACTTCACTGTACAAGTTATTGTTGTACCTAAAAAACGTACTAATATACCAAGTGATTCCAAACTTTTGAGCAGTCATGCAATTCTACTTTCTCAGTTCATCCTGTTTTTTGTTTTGTACCCCAAAACAGCCACTAGGTGGAATCAGCTCACCAGAATTGATCTAATGATACACAGACATAACAGAGTTTCAACGCAAAATTCAGGCACACTGTGTTAAAATACAGTCGCTTACGTTTTTACACTTTTGTCCATCGTATTTAAACAATCTCAACAGAAATGTAATTATGCATTATGATGGTGTAGATTTGGTATAGAATCAAGATTCCACTTTCGAAATTCAGGAGCTGATTTCACAAAAGCTTCCCTATGAAAAACGCATGAAGGACCTTAAGACAAACACTAAGAGGTTCATAAAAATATGAAGCTCTCAATACTTGAAGTTCTGAAATATTGTCTTAAAGAAGGTCTTTTTATTCTCTTACGAAAATAAAAAAACGTTCATTGTTTCCTTTATAGTTTAAGAGCTTTACTCTGTCAGTGTGAGACTGTCATGAGTTTAAGAAAATATTTAAGAGCATATTTTTTTAAAAATACCACTTGCTCTCATAATTGTTCTTAAGAGAAACATAGAAACATAAGAAAGAAACAGAGAAAAGTCTTAAGGTTTCTGAAGAACGTATCTCTTTTTTTCTTAAGTGTTATTTAAGAAGATTTTCTTTATTGAAACCGACCGCAGTTTTTCACGTACTTACCAAAGACACTGCAAAATTCTGCAGCTTCTTAAACGAGATACAAATCTTGAAAATGGTGCCTTTTTGTAAGTTTGGGTAGAATCCCAACTCATGATTTGTCTACAGTGGTGGTGATAAGAACCAGGGGTCGTGATGCAATGAGGTCTACAATGCAAATATGCATTTTATTTACTATCCAAAACCACAAGTGTCTTCTGAGTTTTTATATGTAATTCTGATGGTTAAATACTGGCAAATCTGAAAAGAATAAGTTTCTTTGGTGACTATTTTGCCATACAACACCCTGCATGTACCTCTCCACCATGAACGGCTTTCAAAAATACACTTTAGGCAAAATATCTAAATTTATTTCACAGCATCTCAGGCCTCAGGCGTTTCATGCAGACTTTCTGTGAAGGAGCTTTTAGATGTATTACAGCGTTCAAACGTCTGGTTCCTATCACCACCACTGTGAACATCAACTCGGTATGACTGTAGAATACAGCACTTCACATCAAACCACTCTGAATGACACTGTTTAAATTAACCATTTAATTATGCAGAAATTTTGAAAGCTTGGTGGAATTCCCCTTTCAGTGAGCTGTGATACGTCTCTTACCCTCTCCTTTAATGTCATGAAAAATGCCAACAACTGCAGTCTCTGGAACGTCTGGGTGTTCATCCTGCATAAAAAAACATCAAACCAGCGACTGAGATATGAGATTATTCATCATTAAAGACTGTTAAAGGATCATTAAAGACCTCTGGTTCTCACCAGGACATCCTCTATCTCGGCAGTGCCCAGTCGATGGCCGCTGATGTTGATGACGTCATCCATCCGTCCGGTTATCTGGTAGTATCCTTCCTCAGAGCGGCACGCTCCATCACCGGTAAAATAATGACCTACCAGCAAAATCAGTTCTTACCTCTTTGATCAACTTTACCTATTAAGATTTACGCTTATGAAGTCCAAACACTTGAAATAGAAGCTTTAAAGCAATTTTAAAGCCAAAAATCTCATTTACACAGTATTTCCTAAAGGAAGTTGAACAGCCGACACTTAGGCCCTATCCCATTTCTTCTTTTTACCCCAACCCTTTGTTTTCGAGTGTCACCCTAACCCCTTGGAACTGAGTTACAAAGGGTAGTGGTTGAAATCTTGCCCTACGAAACGGGACCCTCAAATTAAAAAAAATTCATTAACAGCTACCAGCGCTGCTCTGTAGGCGACCCGGCCCGTCTTCAGTGACAGTAGAGAAGGGTGAAGTTCAGCTCCGCACTGCTGGGCTTTAGTTACATTTAGGGCATCATATGCCTTCAAAGAGGGGGGCAATTATTTATTATCACCCACCACCAATTCTTCAGTGATATGAAGACGAAGTCAGTTATTCACCAGCTTCTTGTTTGAATTTTCCCTTTCCACCTTAAATGGTGCAGCAGTTACATTCTGGCGCCTCAGGCGTCAGAGCTGCTGGACTATTTAAGGTGGAATGGGAAAGTTAGCTAGATAGCTACCGAGACATTAACATGCTATTAGCGATTTTTTATGCTTGTTATGAAGAAAACGACCATAATACACTGAAATGACATTAAACTAAGATAAAACAGTGATTATCGTAATTTTTAACAGAGAAAATTCTCACATTTGTGGGTTTCTTTGGTCTCTTGTTCTCCATCTTGCTGGTTTTTCTTTTTTTCCTCATAACTCTCTGTTTGGAGTCTCTGAAAAACCTCTGTTTGGAGGATCATGTAGCCCTAACACTTCACCCTCCCCCTCTATCTGAACAAGAATCGGGACACCCTACCCCTAGACGTGAGTGCGCAAAAAACAGAGGGCTAAGGGTTAAGAGGTAGGGGCGAGGGGTGAAATGGGATGGGGCCATAGTGTTGCACTGGAGCAATGAGGCTAATGTAGTCAGCTCAGTAACAGAAGCTCGAAACCACTAGATTAGCATCATACAAGCTGCATCACACAACTGCCTCAAACTACACTCTTAAAAAAAGATGGTTCTTTAAAGGTTCTTTAGTAAAGAAAATGGTTCCATATTGAACCATGAACATTCAAAGAGCCCTTTGCATGATTAAACGGTTCTTTGCATCATGAACTGGTTCTTCGGATAGATGGAAAACATGCATGAATGTGCTACAGATGGTTCTATAGAGAACCGTTTTGAAAAAGATTCTATATAGCACTCAAAAGGGTTCTTTTCGCTTTAAAAGGAGGAATCACAAGATCAGAGTAAACCCCAGGAGTGCACTCACCAGGAAAGGGTCTAAAGTACGCATCTACAAATCTCTGGTGGTCTCCAAATATGGTTCTGGCCATGCCAGGCCATGGCTTGCTGATGCACAGAGCTCCGCTGACATCATTTCCTGTTATGGTCTCCCCCTGTTGGCACGAAAATAAAAGATGAAGCCGAAAAGCCCAGCAAAACAAAATGTCTTCTAGTCTACAATTCCAGTCCTTTCACAACACACTCAGTGTCCAGACAACGCCCACGTTTTAGTTCCTCCCGGCTGGCATGTGATATGTTCAGCGCTACGAGACGGCAGTTGAGTGTGGACACGAGTGACTTCCTCTTAGAGCTGGAACTCTTCCAGATTATGCAGTGGCTTTTATCGCTACGCTGGAATATGAGGACAAAAGGACACTGCCCACTTATGGCCAGCATTCCGAAGGTGGACAAAGAAGTCTTTCGACAATCTGAATCATCATTCATCAGACATGGACAACAACAGTGATGCAGGCAGGCCGGGATATGGAGCACTGTGCAAACGTCAGACCCCCTCATTCATTTCATTTCCAGTTAAAACAGCCAAGTTATTTTTCAGTGTCAGAAAAAAGCAGAAAGCATATTTAACAGAAAACGAAACAGAAGCATCAACATTATATTCTTCAGTGTTTACTGTGTCCAGTCTTTACCCTTTATTGCCGCTTCCATTCTTTTCAGGAGACTCACTTTCAGTTTCTCAAAGAAATCTACAGGGATATTTTTCCATGTCTCCAAAGTTCAGTCTTAGAAGTTGGCTGCACTTTCTGCTTCTCACAATCCAAGTAATCCCAAACACACAGTGATGTTGAGGTCTGGACTCTGGGGTGGTCAGTGCATTTTTTTGAGACTAGCCTCTTCTTTCACATCAGGAAAAATAATGAGTAGAAAACTATAATCTTATCAGATGCAAGATAATAAATGAACAGCTCTCTAAATACAGTCATTTATTAAACAGAGGTTGCCCTGACCACTGCATGGTTCCTCCTCCAACACCTGTTTCAATTATAAACAAACTACTCTTGAGTTGGATTGGGATGCATTACCAGCAGGAAAAGCCTGACAACTGTGCACATAAAAGGTCATCAGAACTAGAGCTGAGAAAACCCATAAAGATCAAAGATCATCAGGCTGAAAATGTTGATAACATATTAATTGAGTTAATGGTTAACGTTTTAATAGCGCATTAAAATGATAAATTATTAACGCCACTAATCGTTTCTAGTTGGACCCTTCAAACCATCAGTATGTTGCTGCGATTCTATCCTCTCATGCATATACAGTTTTTAAATGGCTAGTTACACCTTCAGTACCTTCAGCAGGCTATGCTGGACAATAAGCAGGAGACCTAAGGATCAATCAATGAGCAGCAAACTAACAAAAGCAACAGCAAAAAAAGGCTCATGTAAATCCTGCGTTGATATACTACACAAAACGATTAATCATGATTTCTTTTTGTGGTTTGTTTGTTTGACAGCCCTACTGTTAACGAAGTACATCGTCAAATAACATCAGGTCTTAACCTCAGACAAGTATGGAAGCCCTAAAGGGCCGTAGTTTTACATGTTTTCTGTGATAACAGATTTTCATTTGTTTTCTACACTCTCAAATAAAGGTACTAAACTGTCACTGGGGCAATGCCGCTCTTGTCACTGGGGTGGGACCCTCAAGGGTCCATCTCAGTACCTTTTGTCAGGGAACATAACTGTTCCATAATCCACTGAAATGATATGTTCTAAGCTGTACTGACTCCACACCCCCCGTCTCGCCTCCAGGACTTTTACTTTACTGTTCTGTTTTAAAACATTCAGTTATGAAGATATCGAGTAAGATATCTGCGAAAAACACATGCAAATCTTTTCACCTAGAAAAAATGTATTTAAGGTTCACAATCAGACCTTAAAACCACTGTTGTACCTTTGAGGAAACATTTACACTGTTTAAACTTTGATGAGCAAAAAAATGTACCTGTACAGAACCTTTATTTCTAACAGTGTAGAGATCTGGTGTTATTCATATCATCTTCCCAACACAGCAAATGTAGTTTTCTTGGGATCTTTGGAAAACAACATTCATTTGCTGTGATAATGACATTTCGGTATCCCAAGAAAACAAATGAAAATAACTCGTAATCCTGGAAAAATCCTGGAGTAAAATACATGCAAATCCTCAGCCCTTTTAGAAACTAATCAACCCAGTAAAGCAGATGTTACCTTCTCTCCCATTAAAGTGAGCTGGATACCAAAGAAAGGCCTCATGGCCATAGCAGGCCGGATCTCAGCTCCTTTCTCGGCTGGACGAGGGGCAATGCACACTCCTCCCGTCTCTGCAAGGGAGCAAATGTGAAATATGTGTAATAATTCATCAAAAAAGCGCTAACGTGACTACCAGTGAATGAAAGCCTGTAGGGATCGTTTAGCACAATCTCATTTTAATAGTTAAAACCATGGCATTTACTTTATTTTATAACATTTTTAGCACAGTTTGCATTTTTGGAGTGTGAGGTATTGCTTTAATAATTCAATAAAAGCAGATCATCTATTACTCAGAGGCTTTATTATACAACTGAAAAGATCAGACTTAAACAGAGCTAAGGCTAAATCCAAATCAACTCTGGAGGGAAAAAGCTGACCATGTAGACAATCAAACACTGTGGTTTAGGCTCTTCTTAAATATCGCTGGGACAGGATTAGTTTTTCATGAGGAAGTGAGGCCATTATTTTGGTGTTTCTTAGTGATTTGAATCCCGTCATGTCAGCATCATTTACAGACTGCTGTGGAAACGACCCTAAACTATTAATCCTCTGCAAATCGACCGGTTTGTGAAAAACACTAGCTAGTCTGTGGAAAATGAGCTCGAAGCATTTACTTGTGTTTCTGTGGCTCAAATCAAGCTGATATGTACTGATCTACATCGGATTTACATCTCTCAACATGAAAACATGTAAAAAGACAGAAAAAAGTTCATCATGGGGCTGGGTGATATGGCAAAAATATATATTACAATACTTTTTTTTTAATCTCAGAAAAAAAATCTAAATCTCAGAAAAACTAAGTATGTTGGAACAGACAAAATATAACCTGTAGTGCCACAAATAAAAATACTGTAATAAGAATAATAAACCAACAACTACAATGATTTTTATTCAGTGTTTTACAAACTGCACTGCTCTAAATGCAATTAAACAGGCCTAATTATGCTCATTTTGTAATGAAACATGCAGTTGACGATATCCACGATATGCACAGAACTTTGCATTGTGACAATTCATCACAATAACGCTAAATTATCGTTATATCGCCCACCCCAGTCCAAGATTTTATGCGTCAGGGTCGGATGTGAATTTCCACACACTGAAGACAGTGATATAGATGGTTAAGGTAAACTAAATAGTGCCTAAAGTCAGTGTTTTCACGTTTTCTACTCTTGTTTTGGAGTAAAGGCAGTGTGTAAATCGAGTAGCCACTCCCATCTCTTTAAATTCATACAGATTTCTTACCTTGTGATAAACACAGACGTCCTGGGGTAAAATTATCATCACCCCGCATCAAAAACGAATCCTGTCTGAACGGTATAGTACTGAGGGGTCATAGAGTCTCTCCTATTTACGTGTGCTCTCATTACCTGTCTGCCACCAGGTGTCCACTAGGGGGCATCGTCTATCTCCCACCACTTCATAAAACCACTCCCATGCTTCACGATTGATGGGTTCTCCCACTGCAAAGACAAACAGCATGAAGGTATGAAAATTTCTGGATATTACCTGATTTCAGCGGAAGTTAATGTCTGGGGACGACACAGTAATAACCTACTTTTTAAGGGTGTTGAAAATGAGTAGAAGATAAGCTGACAAGTCAGGCTAATACAGGCTAATTAGATTTTATTGCTATGTATTGCAACTGCAATATGCCTTGCGATATATTAAAACACACTAGTGAAACCTTGATGTAACATGATTATGGATCGGCCTGCACTACTTATTGATGTTTGCTGAATCAAATAAAACGCCTTGATTCATCAAAACACCCATCTTACCTGGAACATCTGACGTTGGTCAGAATGCTCCTAACCAGCGGTGGACGAAGTACACAAACCATGTACTTGAGTTAAAGTAGAGAGACCCAAGGTAAAATATTACTCCAGTAAAAGTAGAAGTTCCTCCCTTTAGACCTCCACTTGAGTAAAAGGACAAAAGGTATTTGCCTTCAAATGTACTTAAGTATCAAAAGTGAAAGTACTAAAAGATTAATTATGACTCTGATGTCCTATTATCATTTTTGTAACAAGACTCTGCTTCATTAACTCATTTTAGGTGAAAATACTCCAGTGTCTCTCTTGATAAAACAGTCTTTTAATAGAGTCATTAATTAGTGACGCTGATGTCTATTAAAATTATCATAAGCACAAAACACTGAAGACAAACAGTTTCCATCAGGTAGAACTGAGTGGCTCTGAAATCACTATTTACAAACAAGCAAAGTTTCAGTTTAAGATTTATTTGAACTTAGTTACAAGTTTAAGTTTAATAAAAACTTTAAACTCAGATTCACAAATGAGTTTCCTTTACTAAACTGCATCTGTAGGTCTCTGTTCATAAACATAAACTAGCCAAAACTAATTTACTATAAAATGAAATGTGTTTGTATAAATTCAGAATAAAGACACGTCAGTCACAACTGCATATGTGTACATATTTCTATATTGTGGTCTGTTTACACAAAGTTAGGTTAGTTCATCATTTATGTTGAATAGACTCTCCCAAAATTTTACACTGCTGCACGACGTTGAACCGTGTGCTGCACTGGGTCGGTATGACCAACAGGTCAAAACAAGCTCAAAACAAAGTGACCGCTGTGCCCTGATTGGTGTTTTTGCTTCGCGCTTCTTTTGTTTTGACATGTTACGTTTTTATACACACATAAACCAAAAGGAACGACAGATTTCTCATAATGTAGTGGAGTAAAAAGTGAGATATTTGACTCTGAAATGTAGTGGAGTGAAAGTAAAAAGTCTCCCAAAATGGAAAAACTTCAGTAAAGTACAGATACACGAAAAAACTACTTAAATACAGTAACAAATTACATTTACTTCGTTACCAGTGAGATTTGTGCATATAAATACTGCAACGGCCAACAAAAGATATATTGTGCAACTGCAGTTCAGACCATATTACTCTTTCAAAATACTCCATCATGCAATCCAAGGGTTGTAGTTGTTCCCAGGCTGCTCTCTGGCTAATGAATGCACAGGTCCTCTTCAGCAGTCAAGCTTCTCACTAGTACACAATGTTCAAGGACTCTTTATCTCTCCATAGCAGCCTTGCTCCTCAGATATAAAAAAACTGCCCATCTTTAAAGACCCCCCTTCCAGCAAAGCTCAGGAAAGCTGAGATCCCAGTGTAGTTGCTAATTGCAGAGTGCCCTAGTTTCACTGGCACTGGATCAGGGATTTCTGATGTTGACCCCAAAGTCTCTATGTCCAGACCCGTTAACATCCAAGTAAATATCCACTGCATGTCAAACAAGATGAACCCAGTCATTGTGACTCTTTGATAAATGGGAAGTGCTGCTCTTATGAAAACCTCAGCAGAACCGGTTAACTGCCGCTTGAATTACAAGAGAAATCACTTGACCACTTGGACAAGCCAAGAACAAGCAGAAATTATGTAAGAGCCTTTCCAAATGTGGAAAGTTGCCATCGTACATGAACAGAATGAGTAAAACCACTACAGAGAGCAGGAAATGAAACAGAATGAAATGAAATAAAAATCTCAATATCATTTAATACTTAATAATTTATAAGCAAAATATACAGTACTGTGCGAAAGACCACCTTTCATTTATTTAGTTTAATCCAAAATGGGAGATATTTCTGCGGAGATCAGATGCAAGACAATCCACTTACAGGAAGGACAGGGAAAAAATCAAAGGAAAAATAAGTGGAAATTTAAAAAAAAAGTTTAAAAAATGATTAAAAGATACAGAGAAAATGTGCCTCCTAACAACCACCTGGAAGACCTGGTAGACACCAAAACTGCCCCCATCAGATAAACAGTACTTAAACCTTTCATCTTTGAGAGAGAGGAGAAAATCAAGCTGCTTCAGATCTGAAAGCATCCACAGGTGTTTCTGTCCATCCTTCCACTGTGAGAAGACGACTCAGCGCTGTGGGTCTGAAAGGATGTGTAGCTGTCAAGAAGCTCTTACTGAGAAAAGGAGACGGACAAACAAGAAGAGTATTTGCGAATCAAACAAAGAAGCTGCTGGTGTTCTCAGAACCTCACACCACTCAATGTGTTTGGATTTACTTGGATCACAGGAAGTAGAAAACACTATTTTTCCCGTATTTATTGTGCCCGCTCTTTGCCTTTCTCACTATCAGGCATATTTTTATCTTCTTTTAGTTTTGTTTTGGTTTATTTCCTTTTCTCAGTAAGGGCTTCTTGACAGCTACACATCATTTCAGACTCATAGGCCCAATGCTGTTTTTCTTTTTACCCCTACCCCTTGTTTTCGAGTGTCGCGTTGCCCCTTGGAACTGAGTTACAAGTGGTAGTGACTGAAATCTTCCCTATGAAATGAGATCCCTCAAATAAAAGAACATTACTTCATTAACAGCTACCAGCGCTGCTCTGTAGGCAACCCTGCCAGTCTGCAGTGACAGCAGAGGAGGGTAAAGTTCAGCTCCTCACTGCTGGGCTTTAGTTACATTTAGGACATCATATGCCTTCAGAGAGGGCCGCCCACCCCTAATTCTTCAGTGATACGAAGCTCAAGTCAGCTATTCGCTAGTTTCCTGTTTGATTTTTCCCGTTCCACCTTAAATGGAGCAGCAGTTACATTCTGGAACCTCAGGTATCGGTACTACGGTACCTTTTAAGGTGGAACGGGAAATTTATCTAGCTAGCTACCGAGACATCAGCACACTATTAGTGATTTTTTTGCTTGTTATGAAGAAAACGAGCCATAATACATTGCAATGACATTAAACTAAGACAATACAATAGTTATCGTAATTTTTTAATGAAGAAAATTCCCACATTTGTGGGTTTCTTTGGTCTCCTGTTCGGCCATCTTGCTGGTTTTTCTCTTCTCTCATAACTCTCTGTTTGGAGTCTCTGGAAAAAAAAACTGGAGGGCCATGTAGCCCTAACACTTCTCTCTACCCCTCTATCTCAACTAAAATCGGGACACCCTACCCCTTTAGACGTGAACAAGGGCTAAGGGCTCAGTGGTAGGGATAACGGGTGAAATGGAATTAACCCATAGCGCTGAGTCGTCTTTTCACAGTGGAAGGATGGACAGAAACACCTGTGGATGTTTTCAGATCTGAAGCAGCTTGATTTTCTCCTCTCTCTCAGAGATGAAAGTTTTAAGTGCTGTTTATCTGATGGGGGCAGTTTTGTGTCTACCAGGTCTTGTAACTTGATCATTTGTACTTAACTGCTGGAAATTGAATGAATTAATGGTGGTCTCTGACTTTTACACAGTACTGTCTATATTTGTTCAGCAAACATAATGACTTTGAGTGACAAGCAATCAGCCTTTGTCAAGAGACGTAAATCAAGGACATGTATTGAACATTGTAAAATCTCATATCTCAGAAATGCTAATATTACAACAGAGAAAAATGTTCTTATTTTTAAATGCAAGTTAAGGTAAGAAGATTTTATTCTGAGTTATTTTGGACCATTTCTACTGGTCCACCCATCATAACAGCTGGTGTTTTCAAAACGTTCACTGTCTTACCTGATCCAAGCGTTTTGAGGGAAGACCTGTCGTACTTTGTCACCCAGGTCTTGTCGTACTTCAGTAGCAGCCTGATAGCTGTAGGAGCTCCATAGAACTGGTTAATCCTCAGCCGCTGCACCATCTCCCAGTACCGACCTACACACAAACACATACGCAGACGTGCCAGTCATCACATAACAAACTTATACGGTAGATTTTTGCATAAAATGGTCCTTGATTTATTTTTTTGGACCTGAATATTAAATTCAAAAACAATAAAAATAATAATGTGTGCGGGGGTCCTTTTGGAATATGTTGCCTTGAGGCAACATTGTGCAACAATGAGAAGAAATAATATACAGCTGTGTTCTCTAAAGTGGTGAGACCTGGCTTGTGACTGGCTAAATTCCTTCCACTGTCATGCAATGTTGCTTCTAGGCAACAAACATTTCTGCAAATTCTTATAACAAAAAAAACTGATACTGAATGATCAAAAAGAGGTATTAAAGTGCCCACTAAGAGATAGTATGACTCAGTACATGCTTTTTATTGACTTAAACTCTTCTTTTCATTGTTAACCCTAATGTTGTCTTTAAATATGTATAAGGTTTTTGTAAAGTGAGGAAAATTAGTTTGTTGCCCTGAGGCAACATTGTGCAATACAGGGTTAAGATCTTGTAAAATCTTAATAAAAATGTGCCCAAATTTAGAGCGATGCCACAGACAGGGGCTCTTAACCCTTTTCACAGTGCAACCCTTTTTTGAGGTTAAAATATTTTGCAGCCCCTCTCTTTGCCAACCTGCCCCTTCCCTCCAGCCCCTCTCCCTACACACACCAGTATACCCATTAAAGAAATTACAGAGGAATAATCAAACAGCAAGTCTGCTCTCTGTCTAGGCCTGCATTTCCTTAACTGGCATTTCTCCACAAACGACAAATCCTCAGCCTGGCACTGAAATTATGCTTCAAGTCCAGCGGTCAATCAACTCCCTGCCTCAGCAACGAGCTCACATAATAGAAATGTATAATCAGCATTAGCCTGTCCTCCACGGCCTGTAGGTGGAGCCAGTCAGCAGAGTGAATTTGTGCCTGTCGAGTAGACGTCTTGTAGCACCACTCCCGCGACCCCCTTGACACCACGCCGTCCCCCCTAAAGGGGTCCCGACCCCCAGGTTAAGAACCTCTGCCATAAAAGAACCACTTTTGGTTCCCTAAGAAGCCCTTCAGTTGATGTTTCTTTGAAGAACTGTTTGTGAATGGGATGTACAAAATGTACAGAACCTTTTAAAAGTCTGAAAAGAACCGACACAACCAACACACACAAGCTTAAAGTGCTTGTGTGAATGAGAACCACTCTCCATATCAGGAGCTGGCAGCAAATTTGGTGTCATACAGCACCAAAAACAGTTCTCCTCTTATTACACGCTTGACATTGTAACAACAGAAAAGAACCCTTTTTGGTGCTATATAGAACCCTTTGCGAAAAGGTGCTATACAGAACAATCTACAGCACATTCTCCACCGATCTGAGGAACCCTTTCTCAATGCAAAGAACCCTTTAATCATGCAAAGGGTTCTTTGTGTGTTCACTGTTCTATACAGAACCTTTTTCTTTACTAAAGAACCCTTAAAGAACCATCATTTTAAAGAGTGTAGTGTGTGAAAGTGAATTTTTGGACTGACCACCCCAGAGTCCAGACCTCAACATCACTGAATGTGTTTGGATTACCTGGATCGCAAACAGCAGCACATGCAGTACAAGCAGTTGTGTATATTAGTAACATATTAGGTTAAGTGACTCTTATTAGTCCCACAACAGGGTTTTCAAACTCATTTTTCTGGTTATCAGCTGTGATTCTGGGTCGCCTTTTTACCCATTAAAGAAATTACAGAGGAAGAATCAAATGGCAAGTCTGCTCTCTGTCTAGGCCTGCATTTGCTTAACTGGCACTTCCCCCAAACGACAAATCCTCAGCCTGGCACTGAAAATATGCTTTAAGTCCAGCGGTCAATCAACTCCCTCCCTCAGCAACGAGCTCACATAATAGAAATGTATAATCAACATTAGCCTGTCCTCCACGGCCTGTAGGTGGAGCCAGTTAGCACAGCATATGTGGACTTGTCGAAATTATTTTCGCTGTGTTTGTTAAAGTAGACGTCTTGTGGCACCACTCCCGCGACCCCCTCGACACCAAGCCGTCCCCCCTAAAGGGGTCCCCAAACCCAGGCTCAGAACCTCTGCCATAAAAGAACCACTTTTGGTTCCCTAAGGAGCCTTTCAGTTGATGTTTCTTTGAAGAGCTGTTTGTGAATGGGATGTACAAAATGTACAGAACCTTTTAAAAGTCTGAAAAAGAGAAAGAGAAAATGGGATTCCTAACAACTGTGCAAGTACAAAAGTTAAAAAGTCAGAGAAACCACCTGCAAGACTTAGCAGACCACCAAAACTGCCCCCATCAGATAAACAGCGCTTAAAGCTTTCATCTCTGAGAGAGAGGAGAAAATCAAGCTGCTTCAGATCTGAAAACATCCACAGGTGTTTCTGTCCATCCTTCCACTGTGAGAAGACGACTCAGCACTGTGGGTCAAGAAATTTGTGACTTGAGCTTCGGAGAATTAGGGGTGGGTGATAACAAATAACTGCCCCCCCCCAACCGTGTGGCTGTCAAGAAGCACTTTCTGAGAAAAGAAAATAGACAAAAGCCCAAACAAAGAAGCTGCTGGTGTTCTCAGAACAACGGACTGACCACCCCAGAGTCCAGACCTCAACATCACTGAATGTGTTTGGATTACCTGGATCGCAAACAGCAGCACATGCAGTACAAGCAGTTGTGTATATCGGTAACATATTTAGTTAAGTGACCCTTATTAGTCCCACAACGGGGAATTTCACCTCCGCATTTAACCCATCCGTGCAGCGAAACACCACATACACACTAGTGAACACACACACTAGGGGGCAGTGAGCACACATGCCCGGAGCGGTGGGCAGCCCTATCCACGGCGCCCGGGGAGCAGTTGGGGGTTGCCCTGCTCAAGGCCACTTCAGTCACGTACTGTCGGCTCAGGGGATCAAACCAGCGACCTTCTGGCCACAAGGCTGGTTCCCTAACCTACAGCCCTCGACTGCCCCCAGTTATCAGCATATTACACCATGATTATTGCGTATTATTAACATATTATCAATGTTTGCCTTTCAGTTGGCCTTTTTTGACAATAACTATGTGGAAATAAGATTTTATTCATGCAGAATAGATTTAAATCAAGTACATTCAAAGCACTCTTTTGTTGAGTACATCATGTTTCAATCATAATCACTAAAATTTATACTCTACAGGATGTCGACACCAATTTTTACCTACAAATGCAAACCTAATGTGTAATAAAGGTCCCTAACAGCAATGGAAACAAACTCTTCACATGGTCAGGCACATTGCGTAAGCAGCTATATCTAAAGAGGACGCTGATTAATTGTCTCCCAAGGTTGATAATCACCATTACAGTACTATACACATTGGCAGTGCTTTGAAGTCTGACGTCAGGATCATTACGGGTCGTAAACAGAGATAACTCTCCATTCAGGTTAATGTGTCACACTGATACTGTTGTAGTGGAACAATTACAATTCCTCATTTTAAGCTTGCCTCAGCGCATCCTCAGAAATCCAGTTCAAAGCCACACCCATTCAACAGCCTTTGTGAATGCTGGCGAGGACGAATGCTGCGATACTCACAGCAAAACCGCGGAATTTAAAACGTCACCCACCGTTTCAGACCATCAAAACGCAAGGTTTGGTTCCAACAAAGCAGAAGCACACATGATCAGTTGTTTGAAGCCTGAGCGACTGATGAAACACATAGAATCAGTTGTGCTCCTGGTCATTTGGAATGAAACCCTGCAGCCACACTGGCCCTTTGCGGATTAGACTGGACTCTACTACTCTAAACCCCTTTAAAACTAAGCTGAAAAGTGGCCACCTGGGTCTATCTTCATATTTTTGCCTGTAACTTGGAAATAATCTCTGTTCACAGTGATACTGTCTGATTCAGCACAAGCTTTTCAGTTATCCCACTGGACACCAAAATGTGATACACGAGGTGAAACCAGAGTGCAAAAGATTAACAGCCAGTACCCTGACCGGATCTGCTGGATATTTAAATCATCTGATTTGCTGCCTAGTGCTGACAGCAAGCCAACAAAACAACTCCTTGAAGTTGAAATGTTCTGGTCCATTCACATTAGTAAACTGCTCCGGGTTGTTCATTTGCATGGCCTCCTCCCCCGTTTTCACACCTGAACAGTGCCACACCCTAAAATGCATATTCATGAAGTCAGCACATGATGATAAATAAGCCCAGAGTCAATCAGACAATCACTATGAACACAGAGTATTTCGAAGTTACAGGCAAAAATATGAAGATACATCCCTGGTGGCCACTTTTAGGCTTAGGTATTAAAGGGCTTAGAGCAGTGGTGTCCAATCTTATGCACAGCGTCAGCGACGCCGCAAACATTCATTACAGTGTAAAAGTCTGGGTACCCCTGGTCAAATGACATTCTGTTGATTTTCTAATTAAAAACACATCCTTTACAGAGAACACACTTCTGCACATTTTAATGCACAACTACTGCTTATTTGCTGAATATAACAAAACATAAAAAGCTGCAAAAGTTAAGACACATTTTAGATTCTGTGTTCTATTTTTTAAACTCAGCAAACAGAAACTCTGCACCAAAACATGCAGAACAAACATCATATTTAAAGGAGCAATATGTAAAGCTGACGGCAAGCGTTTAAAACGGGTACTGCAGTCCAAATTCGAAATATTGGAGAGAGTTGTCTGCCCCCGCCCTCTCCTCCGCAGACTCGAAGCTCAGACGGGTTGCCAGGTTTAGGACACTGAACCTCCATAAACAAGTGCAATGTTAAACTTTGACAAGCGACAATGAGTAACACACTGTACGTTAATCAGCCAATGTACACATCTGCAATGTTTTTACTGTTTGCAAATTATAAACCAGCTCATGTGGGTTTTTTATAACTCTGTCATTGTTAGCCAGGTGCATGGCTGTCTATGCATGGTAGCCAAAGCTAATCTCATAATCCTGAAAACAAAAGCCCACTGCTCTGAAAATACTCGCTGAAGTCAGCTTCTTATTCACCAGCTTCTTATTCACCAGCTTCTTTTTTGAATTTTTCAGTCCACCTTGTTGCAACAGTTATATTTTGGCGCCTCAGGGGTGTTCAAACCTTTTGCACAAAACTGTAAGGCCCAATCCCATTTCACTCCTTGCCCCTACCACTTAAACCTTAACCCTGCAGAAGCAACCAGAGACCCACAAATGTGAGAATTTCTCTATTAAAAAATTACGACAGTCACTGTTTTATCTTAGTTTAATGTCGTTTCAATGTATTTTGGTCGATTTCTTCATAACAAGCATAAAAAACCGCTAATAGCATTCTAATTCTAAGTCTTAGTAGCTGGCTAGCTAACTTTCCCATTCCACCTTAAATAGTCCAGCAGTTCTGACGCCTGAAGCCCAGAATGTAACTGCTGCACCATTTAAGGTGGAACGGGAAAATTCGAACAAGAAGCTGGTGAATATCTGACTTCAGCTCATATCACCAAAGAAATTAGGCAGTGGGCGATAATAAATAATTGCCCCCCTCTTTGAAAAGCATATGATGCCCTAAAAGTAACTAAAGCCCAGCAGTGAGGAGCTGAACTTCACCCTCCTCTGCTGTCACTGAAGACGGGCCGGGTCACCTACAGAGCAGCGCTAGTAGCCTCTTAATGAAATGTTTTTTTTTGTTGTTGTTGTTGTATTTGAGGGTCCCATTTCATAGGGCAAGATTTCAACCACTACCCCTTGTACCTCAGTTCCAAGAGGGTTAGGGTGACACTCAAAAACAAGGGGTAGGGGTAAAAAGGGAGAAATGGGACTGGGCCTAAATCTGGCCCCAAGACCCCGACCAGCCTCTATACTGATAAAACGCTTCACTATCTCTCTGTGAAGATAAGAGAAAGAACATAATAAACCCCAGAGGTGACAACACCTCAGTTAAAACAGACATTATCAGCAATGCCTACACCATTTTAAGCATGCAGGGAATATGTTGATAACGACTATTAAACGTGACTTGTGGAAGATTTAAACTCTTTGCTCAGGATTAGGGCTGCAGGATAAACTGTATTTTGATCATAAACACATTATTCAGATTGGAGGGAATGTAGTGTTAGAAGCCCAATGAATGCACAAACCCTACTGTTACACCTGTGAGCGTAATTCAGGTTTTTCTCTTGAGCCCTTTGTCCTGGAAAACATCTTTACAGGCCTGAAGCTTTTGTTATAGCTATCGATTACAAAAGCATGATGTTGTAAGACTTAAAGGTAAATCGTGAATTATTTTATTCTGTGGTCAGCATCACGAAGGTGTGTGCAAAGCAGACTTTCTCAGTTAGCTAAATAACATTTGGTGTGATCAAAGTTTTCATTGGCCTTTTATTGTTAGCTAATCTGAAGACAGGAGAAGACATGAGGAACAATGTTGCCAGGTTTATCCTCCAGATGTTCTTCAGAAATTCTGCCCTGTGAAATTCCCGCAGGGGAGTCATACCTGGGTCAGGGTAGACAGGTGTGCTCTCAAACAGGACGGTGGTGGCCCCGTTGGACAGAGGCCCGTACACCACGTAACTGTGACCTGTGATCCAGCCGATGTCCGCCACGCAGCCAAAAACGTCTCCCGGAGAGTAGTCGAACACATACTGAAGGCACAGGGGGGAGATGAATGAATATAAATGCAGGTTTGCACATCGTCTTTCAAAATAAAACGATGAGTCACTGAGTGAGGAGGTGCAGCAGCAGCTCCCATGAGGAGCCGCTGGTGCCTATGAAAACAGTGAAAACAACAGCACGCTGTATCTAATCTTTTCCAGCCTGATGAAATAATCTTTGATAGAGTCCAGTAGAGATTGCATTGTTTGTCTGTGGACAAGGCAAACAATGAACGTCCACGCCAGGGAGCACTGTTGAGACTGTACACAGTGCAGGGAAGCTAGGAAACAACAGTCGCCTGCAAACACACACCTACACTCTGCCCACCTCTCAGGCCCTTCTTGGAATAAAAACAAAAATCAAAATTACAGAATTTGTCCTTGACCCAAAAGTAGCCGATTCTGAAGTCTGCTTGTATAGATTTGTAGCTGAAACTATGACCAATTAGCATTGTCCTCGGTGCTACACAGAGCTGTTAAAGGGGATGCCAAGTCGACTTCAAATAATAAAACTATCACAGTGAACCCAAAGATTTGTGGCTTGTTGATCATTAACCAAAGTCAGATTTCCATCAGGCATAACATCACGACCACCTCCTTGTTTCTACGCTCATTGTCCATTTTATCAGCTCCACTTACTATATAGGAGCACTTTGTAGTTCTACAGTTACAGACTGTAGTCCATCTGTTTCTCTGCATACTTTGTTAGCCCCCTTTTACCCTGTTCCTCAGTGGTCAGGACCCCCATGGACCCTCACTGCATTTGGGTAAAATTGTTTCAAGTTGAATTTGGTCAAACTATTATTACTATTTCCCATTTTTCACTCTGTGTAATAAACAAACACCACAGTAATCACTTAGGCTGCCTCTGGCACTGCAAGTCTCTGTAATTGCTTTTAGTTATTTGCAGCTGAATTACTGCAAGAGTTGATAAAACCTTTAACACATTTCTAAACTGCTGGCACAGGCAACATGAGTAATACAGGCAAAAGTTAGCTTGTGACAAAACACTTGACGTGAGCATTCCGAAGCTGAGGGATCTGCAGAAATCAACGTGTTGCTAAACAACATTTTCTGCTGAATCAGCGCTTTCTGGAAATAACCACTTCATTCTATCTGCTTTAAGGTATTTAATCCACTGGACTTCTCTAAAGGGGATGTTCTGGTGTTATTTCAGCTGGCTATGCGGTTTGTACTGCCCGACACATGTATACTGCTACAAACATAAAAAGCTGCAAAAGTTAAGGCACATTTTAGATTCTGTGTTCTATTTTTTAAACTCAGCAAACAGAAACTCTGCACCAAAACATGCAGAACAAGCGTCATATTTAAAGGAGCAATATGTAAAGCTGACAGCAAGTGTTTAAAACGGGTACTGCAGTCCAAATTCGAAATATTGGAGAGAGTTGTCTGCCCCTGCCCTCTCCTCCGCAGACTCTAAGCTTACACGGGTTGCCAGGTTTAGGACACTGAACCTCCATAAACAAAGTGCAATGTTAAACATTTGACAAGCGACAATCAGTAACACACTGTAAGTTAATCAGCCAATGTACACATAATGTACACAACAACACAACGTGTTGCTAAATAACATTTTCTGCTGAATCAGCGCTTTCTGGAAATAACCACTTCATTCTATCTGCTTTAAGGTATTTAATCCACTGGACTTCTCTAATGGGGATGTTCGGGTGTTATTTCAGCTATGCGGTTTGTATTGCCCGACACATGTATACTGCTGTTTACTGCTACAGGATGTGAATTAGGTTTCACCTCTTAAGCACCTCAAGCGTATTCACTGTAGTGAAATATCTGTATTAAATATTTTTATTTAAATAATCTCCACTTGTGACTGAAATTACAAAAATGTCACAATTCATAACTATTTTTAAACTGTCTCAGAATAAAATAGGCTGATTTCGTTACTGTGCCTTTAAGCTGAATAGGCTGATGTATGTAAATGTACTGGTTTCTGTGACGTCACAAAAACAAGGAATTCAAAATGCTTTGTTTTTGTAGTTTAGTTTCTATTAATATACTGTGTGAGTGAGAGAGAACAGTTACATAGTTCATCTATCTGAAACTCTAAGTTTCTATGATGCAGGCCCTGTAAGCGTATATAATGGCTTGGCTGAGGACTGTTATATCCGTAACTGGGTGGGAGCTGAATACCTGGTGCGTGAGAGAGGCGTAGAGGAGGTAGCCAGCCTGTGTGTGGACAACGCCTTTAGGCTTTCCTGTGCTGCCTGAAGTATAGAGCATGAAGAGCATCTCCTCACTGTCCATAGGCTCCGCAGGACACTCAGCAGACTCTCTGGCCATAGCCTGGGTGGGGAGAGAGAGAGAGAGAGAGAGAGAGAGAGAGAGAGAGAGAGACAGAGAGAGAGAGAGAGAGAGACACACAGAGAGAGAGAGAGAGAGAGAGAGAGAGAGAGAGAGAGAGAGAGAGAGAGAGAGATGGCGGTACAGTAGTAGGTTAATCAGACCTTCACAAATCTGAGTCTTATTTATTATTCAATTAATATTCAGACTTCTTATGTCATCTCCAAATTATCAATGCCCGTCTTAAATCTTTCTCTTTGCCTTGCGTTAGCTACTGGCTAGGTGAGACTGTTGTCCGAGTTGCTATGGTGACCAGCCGTCTTCAGGGTTAAAGGGTGAATTAGCAGTTGCACATTAACTCCAGAGTTTAAGACCATTTATTGTTAAACTGTGTTGAAAGACCAGCAGAGCTTTATTTTACTGCAAAGGAGGATTATTTTATTATTACCTTTACCTTTTATTCTGCTGTGGAGCCGCAACAGGGCAGTAAAAGAGCCACATGCGGCTCCAGGCTGCATGTTGCTGACCCCTGCTCTAAGGCGACAAGTGGACCCAAATCATGCCAGCAAAATGCCCCCTGCCGCATAACAGAGCCACAGGACCTATCCCCATGCACTCTCTCACTTGTGGAGATTATGGAGAAGGACGATCATCTGTCCATCTTTGTCCGTTTTTCCATCTCTGTAGACCAGCGTCTGCTGTTTTATCACCAACTGAACTCTCAAGTGTGCCTCTGTCTCTGTAATGAGGGGTTTATGCACTACAATCCAGCTGTCTGTCCTACTGTATCTATGCAGTTGTGGATGGACTGTTTTTGCTGACACAGTCTGATTACATCTTGTATTTACATTCTCCAGAGAACAGCTGCTCCTCAGAGTTTCCGTACGTCGCAGTAATACCCGAGAATCACGGTCACTGAGTGAACACTTCAACCACAATTTCAACCCTGTTTACTGACGTCTTACATAGATCTAAATGCAGAGGTCACTTTAGCTTCACACTAGCCAAATTAGCCAGCAATACAGCACTACCTCCTAAATGTGCCTCATCCTCACCTCTTCCAGAGGCCTGTCCAGTTCGCCCATAGGCATGCTGTGACTTGTCCTCTGTGCCACAAACACATGCTTCACTGATGGACAGTTCTTGACCGCGCCGTCCACTGTGGCTTTCAGATTGATGAGACGACCGCCTCTCACGCCCTGATTACACGTGACCACGACCTTGCACTGGGCTGGGTGAGCGTTTTGGAGAGAGAACAAAGAGAGACAATCAATCAGACAGTGTCCTGAACATGTTCCCCATTATCAGAATCAAACTACACAGCAACAGAATCATCATCAGTTCTATGCCATCAGTGAGAGAGAACATCTAGTATAACTGTCTCATATGGAGCCTGTTTATTTGGATGCTGTCGGAACAAAATCTCGCATCTCTGTTTTTTGTCATTTTTCAGTTTTTGGCATAATTTGAAAATGCTTGTTGTCCTCTGTCCATTGCGTGTCAGGTTTTATGATGAACGGCCCAAAATTATTTGGAAGAACGTCTGGTTCCATTGACTTTCATTGAAAGTAAAAGTATGTTTTTCACTTCTCCTGTAAAGTTGTCATTTTGGAGATTGAGGTTTTGTCCCAACAGCAGCGATTTATGTGTTTATATGAGTTATGCACATGTTACATATATGTTTTATACATACAAAGGTACAAAATTTGAATTATAAATAAAAATTAAAAAACATTATAAAACCTTTAAAAATGAAAAATGACATTTAAAAAAAAATTCCATACACATCTAAAAAATGTCACTGTATTTCTTTTCTGGCCTTCGATAAACTGGAACAGAAAAACCTGTGCAGTTTAAAAAATACTACCAAAAATGATGAATGCAACGATATGTTTTCAACATTTCACACACTGTCCTGCACCAAGTCCAACTAAACAGGACTAATTATGCTCTCTTTGTAATCCAGGGGTGTCAAACTCAACCAGTAAAAGGGCCATATTAAAAAATCTATACAATTTCTATACAATTTGCTATAAACCGAACTGACCATTGTTTATTCAAAATATGTCAACAATAAAAATAGGCACTTGCAGTAGACCTTAAAATATTACATGAATACTTGAAATATTCAAAATGTAAAAGTCCCCGGGAGCTCGGCCTGGTAAATCTACCTATTTGCTTGAACTGGACACCTGGCATCTGTTCTCTGCTACAAGTTCATTAAGACTTGGGCTCAATTCCTCAGCTGAGCTGACGTTGGGTGTTTATTTTGGCTGAACTGCAGCTGATATGCAATTAGTGTGTTTGGTGATGTGACCGGTGTGGAACTGTGTAAAACTGTGTAGAACTGAGGTGTAACTGCTGTCCCATAGATTGGTGTTGGTGTAGTCAGCGCATTTATTACACTGCAGTGCATGCTGGGGACTGTAGTGCAGCGCATTGTAAAACAAGCTAACATTAATAGAAAATAAAGATACTTTTGTGGGCCGGACAGGATCGTGTCACGGGCCTGATCTGACCCGCGGGCCTTGTGTTTGGCACACGGGTTGCAATCAATTATGCAGGTGTGAAGTGTTTAAAAGTACTAACGTTATCGAGGATAATTAATAATATTTTGATGATTTCTTATGAAAGTGACAAATATTGTCATATTCCCCAATCATATATATGAATATAAACATATTTATTATACATATTTATATAAAATATATATGATAGAAATTAAATTCAGGTTAAGTACTTAAGTAGGTACAAAAACAAACATTATATGATGTTTCATTCATTTCTGCTGCCTTTTTATTTTTCAGTTTGCATTATTATAGTAAAATTAGGCTAATGGAAGGTTTTTTTGTTTTTTTTGTTTTTTTTTATTTTTCTCCGACGAATTTATTAAAACATAAAAGGTATAGTAATTAAAGTATATATTTTTCTTCATTTAAATTTCATATTACTACACTTACAAAAACTGCTTAGGTTTCACAATATATTAAAGAGGAATTCCACAGATTTTTCAAAACTCAGTCATTCAGAGTGGTTTGATGTGAAAAGCACAATTCCAGAGAGACCAAGGTACGAATTCGGAGTCGGAACTGTTCACATCATGATCTGAAAATGGCTACATCACATAAAGCTATTTACAAGAAATGGTTATGAATATGTTGCCTGATTCCTGAAATGTTTTTTGTTTTGAGAGCAGGTGTTGGGCTAAAAGAAAAAGTCCCCAAAGAAAACGTATTTTTTTCTGATTTACAACTATTTTACCATCATCAACATTACATATAAAAAGTCCGAAGACATGAGTAGGTTCACTGGTTTCTTTGCATTATAAATAAAAGTGGCTATAGTTATACTATAAATGTTAACATGTGAGCAAAATGGGTTTGTTGCCCTGAGGCAACTTTGCAAAAGAAGGTTAAATCTTCAAATAGCTTTAAGTTAACTTGTGTTCACACATGCAAATTTCATGTCTATGGACTGTAAAACTCTAAAGCCACATAAGTCCCTGAAAGCATGTGGAATGATGTGCTTGGCCCCCTAGAACTCTTCACTTTGGCATAAATTAGTGTGTACTAAATATGAGTGAATGTGATGCTTCTGACATTTTGTTTAATTATTTCTCTCTTGTGGCTCATTGAATGATGCAGATGTTGCATAAAATGGCTATATTTGTATTATACACATCGTGACCCCTGGTTCCCATCACTACTACTGTAAATAAATCAGAGTCATTAACTTTCTCCACAATGAACCATGTCACATCATGGTTTGACGTGAGATCAAACCAACTCTGAATGACTTTGTTCACCTCCAAACCACTGGATTATGCAGAAATTCAGAAAACATAGTGATTAATACAGCATGTTAAAACAAATATGTATATTAGCGTAACATAGGATTCGTGTACTACAGTCTCAGTGTTAAATTCTGCAAAATGATCTGGAAGAAAGCATGTGAAGGAACTGCAGTGCATGGGTGTGTGCCAAATTGTGCATGTCAGTCGAACTGCCCCCATGAGATTTAACAATGAGCTGCAAGGAAAGAGTTTCAGAGGCCTGGATGGAGGGTGTTTCTGTGGTTTTTCCAGCTCATTCTAACAGCTGTTTCCTCACAGCCTCCACTGGAGTTCTGGGTTCTAATGTTTTTAAACCTTTAACGTCCTCACCAAGAAGAAAGCAATGGAATTTTTATAATAACTGTGTAGTTACATGTGAACAACATATGCAACAACAATGTAACTACTAATGACTTAGTCACTGTTACAGATGAATTACAGAAGTACAGCTTTTGCAAATACACATGTGTATCAGCTTCAGTTTTGCCTCATGTAATTACACAAGTGTATCTTAATAGTTGTAACAGCCTATTCTCTCTCTTGTAATTACACAAGGGTAATAACACAAATGTAATTACATTTGTAATCAGACTGGAACAGCATTTTTCCCAGCAGTAAAAGGAAATATCTAATAATGTACATTAAGGCATTACTGACACTGTATCTGCCAGTTTTCCTAACAGTTAGCTAGCATTTATGTTGCTAGTGCTGTGACACTGTAACCAGTTTCAGCTTTAAACCATTCAGTATTGTAACAGAACAGCAGACGTCCCCTTATCTTAACATGTAACTGTTTACGACATTAATTAAATGTGTTGCATTTCCCCCCAAAGCAACGTCTATATTAGCACTCCTTTATTACACAGTACCTACATAACAACTACACAGGAACTGTCCACTTACTGTAAAGTGTAACTTTAACACTACAGGAAAGTTCCAGTGTAGAAGATACACTTGTGTGAGGCAAAACTGAAGTTGATGCACATGTGTAATTACATAGGCTGTACTTCTGTAATCCATCTGTAACAGTAACTAAATCATCAGTAGTTACAGTGGTGTTGCATATGTTATTCATATGTAACTACACAGTTATTAGAGACACAATATAATAAAGTGGGACCGATTTTTTTTGTATTTTTTATTTGTTTGGGGCAATAATAAAACCAATTGGTGTTTGTTTTTAAAATATTCATGTCTACCAAACAGTCGAGATGGCACTTTGTGGCATATATAGTGACTCAAAATGTGCTCTACCAAATGGTTGAGCAGAACACTGAAGGGTTAAGAATGGCATAATGAGCATTCCTTCTAATTCTAATGTCAAAACATTGTGACTAGCACTGTAGGTACACTGGACGCAATGCTTACTCTGATGCTGTAACTAGTACACCAGTAATGAGCCAACAGCATGTGACTGACCAGTGAAATATCACTCTAATGTACTCAGGCAAGCAGTCAGCAAGCCTCCTGATCTTTCCCACCGATGCTTATCGCTCACGTTATAGCAAACACTAACAGTAAAAGGCTTAATACTAACACCCGCTCACTATCAAGTGGAGGGGTCATAAAAAGGTCAGTTCTTATGTAATCTAGGAAGTTCTGAGCAGCAAACATCTGGGAATAATCTGTGCTGTGTCCATTCCCGTCTTTGTAGGGAATTTCCATTCGTTTTTGTATTACTAGATCAATTCTGCTGTACTACAACTAAACCCATATATTATTAACCTTAACCTCAGCAAAGAAAACCTGTCCGCTCTTTTACTTTTTCAAATACAGGCTGCGTTTTACATCAACATTTTTCTTCTGGGGACCCCCCAAAAGAGTCCCCACAATGCTTTCCATCATAGGTCATCTGGTCCCAACAAAGTGCTACATACACAGTCATACTCACACACGTTCTTCCATGCATAGAGAACAGGGACGGGGACTCTTCAAGTTGAGTGCAACGGGTCTAAAACACTCAAGCATGTCTAGTTAAACATTCACACATGAGTTTCCAGTCATGCCCAGGATCTGAGCCATGTGACAACCAGTCAAATTCAAAGCCTGCAGCTATTCTATGAATTCTCTGCTCTTCCTTATCTCGTGGAATGCAAGAAGGTCAGTAAGTGGGGAAAAAAAACTGTAAAGGCAGCTACATTTTTATCAGCACAAAACACCTTTACTAGTTATCTCACACGGCCTTGAATGGAGCTCTGAAATATATTAAGGACTCCACCACAATGGCACGGTCATCTAGAGCTGATCCAACGCTGTTGTCATTTTTCTATCTCTAGTCACTTTTCTTTCAAAAAGTGTACCTGATTATTAAAAACTAAAACAAATTTGAAAAAATAATGCACATAGGAGTCATTTTAGGGTTTGTTGCCTTGAAGCAACACTGTGCAACAATAGAAAAAATATATAGATATTTCTTTCCATTGTCGCACAATGTTGCCTCTAGGCAACAAACCCTAAAATGACTCCTATGTGCATTATTTTTTAAAATTAGTTTTTGATTTTAACACTATATAAACATTTCACCAAAGATATTTTCTTGTATTGTCCAGAAATCATGATGCATGATGATCAAACAATCATGACAATGGGCAATATGACAATGTTTTATCATTATCATGATCAATTCTATTACTGTGAGCCACAATACGCTTGTCATACTATTACGGATTTTGTCAACACTCGAAGACCACTGACTGCATGCTGCATTAAAAAGAAAGCATATTTAATCCAGTCTAATTGAATTTAGTGAGGTAGATTGTGTGAAATATTGAATAAAAAACATAGTTTAAATGTAAATACTAGTGCTAGTAAAAAATATCATAGTCCATACTGTGTAACCTAAAAATGTCAAATTATTATGATAAGATCATTTTCAAGTACTCAAATATTTTCTATACCTACTGTTGACATTAGAAAAAAGTATGGTGCTATTTGACAGAATTGACTCGAGTTTCTAACCATTAATTATTGCACAAGAAAATAAACAAAACAAAAACATAAAATTCTAAATTAAAAGAAAAACAATAATTCTAGTGTTCTCTCGAATGACTACAAAGTGACACTTCACTTGCCCCTTTACTGTCATTATAAACGTATCAGGTCATTGTAAAGTGAGGAAAATGGGTTTGTTGCCCTGAGGCAACATTGTTAAAAAAAGGTTAAATCTTCAAGGAGTATTAAGTTAACTTCTGTTCACATATGCATATTTCATGTCTATGAATTGTAAAACTCCAAAACCACATAAGCCCCTGATTTTGGACTGATGTGCTTGGCCCCCTAGAGCTCTTCATTTCACAATACTTGTCATAAATTGAGTGAATATGAGTGAATTTTATGACTCATATTATGACTTGTATTATGAGAATGTGTTTAATTATTCCTCTCATGTGGCTCAATGAAATTCTGTGGAAAACGCAGATTTGAAACTTAAAATCCACATCTGTATTTGTAAGTAGAGGAGGAGATATTTTATAATGATTTGAATATTAACACTGGATTTTTTGAAGAAAAAAAATCATAATATTTTGACATGGAAACACGGAAAAAGTAGACATGCAGGTTGAACCTGTCCACACAGAATGTAAACAGAGCAGAAAAAAAACATTTGCCATTCTTATGGCTTTTTCATGCAAATGACTGTCGGTTCTTTGTTTTGTAGTTTTGTTTATGCCTCCAGCCCCTGATACTGTTACAGAAGATTCAGTCCTTCTTTATAAAAGTTGACCACTGGCCAGTTCTGCCTTTTAGCACAGATGAATTTGAATGCGCATTAACAGAGCGCTACAGGACTTCCTGTTCATGTTAATTGCTCCACACAAGACCAGCATTTTTACTCTTTCAAGCACCAGTGAGCCTTAGCCAGCAGCACAGGCCAAACTAGTCCACCCACATGATCTACAGTGTGCAGTCTGCCAATGCTAGGCTGCGGTCCACTTGCCCCTTGGATCCCTTTAGTCCACTCACCGTCCTGAATCCTTCCAGCCAGAGACTCGGAGCTGAAACCAGCGAACACCACAGTATGCACAGCCCCAATGCGCGCACACGCCAACATGGCCGCCACTGCTATGGGAGACGGGGGCATGTAGATGGCCACACGGTCACCTTTCCGCACACCGTGACTCTTTAAGGTGTTGGCTAGCCGGCAGGTCGACTCCAGCAGCTCTCTAAAACAGAAGAGACAAGAAAAGAAATATCAGACTAGGTTCTCAGTCACTGCAGTGCTGAGAATGATCCACCACCCACACACACACACACACCAATCAGGCATAACATTATGACCTCCTTGTTTCTACACTCATTGTCCATTTTATCAGCTCCACTTACTATATAGGTGCACTTTGTAGTTCTACAGTTACAGATTGTAGTCCATCTGTTTCTCTGATACTTTGTTAGCCCCCTTTTACCCTGTTCTTCAGTGGTCAGGACCCCCATGGACCCCCACTGAGCAGGTACTATTTGGGTGATAGGTCATTCTCAGCACTGCAGTAACACTGACGTGGTGGTGGTGTGTTAGTGTGTGTTGTGCTGGTCTGAGTGGATCAGACACAGCAGTGCTGCTGCTGTTTTTAAACACTGTGTCCACTCACTGTCCACTCTATTAGACACTCCTACCTAGTCAGTCCACCTTGTAGATGTAAAGTCAGAGACGATAGCTCATCTGCTGCTGTACAGTTTGTGTTGGTCATCCTCTAGTCCTGCTTCATCAGTGGTCACAGGACGCTGCCCACAGGACACTGTTGGCTGGATATTTTTGGTTGGTGGACTATTCTCAGTCCAGCAGTGACACTGAGGTGTTTAAAAACTCCAGCAGCACTGCTGTGTCTGATCCACTCAGACCAGCACAACACACACTAACACACCACCACCACATCAGTGTTACTGCAGTGCTGAGAATGATCCACCACCCAAATAGTACCTGCTCTGTCACGGTCCATGGGGGTCCTGACCACTGAAGAACAGGGTAAAAGGGGGCTAACAAAGTATGCAGAGAAACAGATGGAACTAATAAAATAATTGTAAATTGTCATATCTTACTCTTAAGTTCTAGTTATTGAGATAAATGGATTTTATTCCATTTTTTATTTTATTTCAAAAAAATATTTTTTGATAACTTCCTTATTTTATGTTCAATTTTGCGCATTTACTTGTGTGTTTGGATTCATTTTATAAAGATAATATATAGATAAAGATATAAACTGACAAAATACCGCTACTAACTTTTTGATTGCATAACTGTGTGCAGTTATCTCTTCATTATAAGAGATATTCTTTTATAAGATAAATTAGTTAGTATATTTTTTAACTTTCCCTTGTTTTGCCAGCAATTTCCTCCTACTCTCGCTGCAACATACACTTAGCAGCAAATGGCTGGGTTTCCAGGTTTAAACAAATGTTTTCAGCAGTAAATTCCATGCTTATGCACAGCTGTTGGCCTACGTAGCTAACATCTGCTTTACACATCAGTAAAACAAAGTTAAACAACTGGTGAAGTAATGGCATATTTGATGTACAACAAAGCAAAATGACTGTTCAATTCACTGCTTAATGTTTGCTGAATATTTTTTTACAAGAAACGAAAAAAAAACTAAAATGAACTGCCTCCCAAAAGATACTGACTGCTCCATCAATCAGTTCATCCCCAGGGGCTGAAGCCCAGTCAGGCCTAAAGGTTACTCACTGAGGCTGGTATGGTAATGTGATCACCCCCACCTCCCCCACACACACCCCAGGACTTCATTTTATCTCCCTGCGTAGGTGGATATAGCTCGAAAATAAAACTTAAGAATGCAAACATCACTACTGATGTCTAGCAAGATTCAGGCCCTACGTTTCTCAAAATATGGGCTGCCTTACTGAATTTAATAACTGTATTGTTACACAATTTAACTAAATTTCCTGTCAGACTCTGTTTTGATGGTCAAGGCTCTATTTTGATGGTCAATACTTTATTTTGACAGTCAGTAATAGATCATCCACAAATGCTTAAACTGTTTACAAACAAGCTGGTAAAAAAAAAGAAGTTTGGATTAGGATATGGATTAGGAACAGGATTAGGATTGGGGTTCAGTGTCAGAGAAATAAACAGATATTCAGTTAAACTATCAAGAAACTACAAAAAAACTATATAAAACAAACTGTTAGCAAACTTTCTAACATGATCCTTCTTGGTACACTATACAACCCTATGCTGAGTAAGGGAGTGTATTGGCCATTGAACTGTAAAACTACATACAGTAAGGTGCAGAAGTCTTCGGGATCTGAGACAACGATATGCAAAGCCAATTATCTGGATAGGAAGCGTTTATTTGTTCAAAATACATTAGAACAAACATAAATAACCAAAACACTTTGATTAGTTAACCATTTCCACAGCTCTCCTGACAGAAAGTCCAGTTCTTACAGTTACCGCCCAATACTAGTTTACAGGGCTGAAGTATAATATCTAAAATGAAATAAAACATCTAATTGCAATTTTTCTGACCCATATTATGATTATGAATTAAATTGCAGTTGTTTATATTTGAAGTAGAAATTGAGGTATGGGCCTTTTTTTTGGCTAAGAAGACCAGCGTAGACTTTTTCTGGCTTGTGACTTGAACTGTTAGCACAGCAGTTCTTAAGCTCCAAGTTATTCTGTAAAATTTCCCTACATAAAACTTGCATCGTATCAACGTTGTTTGATAACAGACTGTAAAACTGTAGTACAAATTGCAGCTCTTGTGATTTGAAATCATTATCTAATCAATCCTTGACTGTATATATAATATACAGTATATAGAACACAATGTACATAGAATACAACACATAACTGCTTTCTCCAACAGTGCGTATCATAACATATATACTGTATTTACAGTACTATGTGTACATATACATGAACATATCATTCATAGATATATTTATGATTGTGTATATATTGTTCATATAGTTATATTTCGTAGATACGTCATATTTATGCCTGTTATTTCACATTTGCACTGTCCGTTTTGCACTATTGCTACTATTTGCACTTCTGGTAGATGCTAACTGCATTTCGTTGCCTCGTACCTGTACTGAGTAGTGACAAAGTTGAATCTATCTATCTATCTATCTATCTATCTATCTATCTATCATTGAGCTGCTGCTGAGGACATTTAACAAATCCACACAATGGTTGGAGTGCACGAGTAGTCAGGAGCTAAAATTCTGTGTAATGAAAGCTTTAAGATGTAAACAGTCATTCGGAGTGGGCTGATGTAACGTTTCATTATACAGTGATGGTGATGGGAACCAGATGTCTGAAGAGTTCAGTGCCTCTTAAAAAGCTCCCTCACAGAACTCTATTGTACTAAATGGTTGAGACTACTGCCATATGCCTGAGATACTGTTTTATGATAGCTGTGAGGTTTTAGTACATATAAGGCACTGCTAGGCAAAATAGCCCCCCAATAAAACTCATTGTTCCAGATTTACCACTATTTTACTATTAACATCACCTATAAAATCACAGAAGACATCTGTCGGTTCACTGGTGGTTTTGGACAGTAAATAAAATGGTAATATTCTTGTTGTAGATATTGTGACCCCTGGTTCCCATCACCACCACTGTGAAGACATCAGAGCTGGTAAGTTTCTCTAGAATTACCCATTTCACATCAAACCAGAATGATCGACAAGTGAAAAACAGTGGAATAACTGGTTTAAAAACAACAACAAAAAAATGTTTTACTGTATTTATGTTTGTTTGTATTTACACTGGTGTTATACAGTGTTTCACAGGCAGAAACACTGTAAAGTAAGCAGCTTTCCTGCCTAAGGCTCATGCACAGTATGGTATAATGATGCATTATGCTGTATGCCAAACTGCCCAGCTATCCACATAAAATTTCACAACTGTTTACCCAAATAACAGTCAATAAAGTTGATCAAGATGTTTTATTATGAGTATTTTATATCGGCCTAGTTCTTACAAAACGTCACACATCTGTGAGGCAACTGAAATGAATCAAATGGCATTGTGGATTCAGTAGAACGGAGCATGAATGAGAACAGTTTTCTGATACAGTGAGGGGCTGTGTGTCACGCCGTGCACAGAAACACATTAGTCACCGTTCCCCTCTGGGAACATTTGGAGTGATCCGGCAGTATCTGTTACAAAACAGCGCACTGATGGACTACTTTCACTTTCACGTGTCGCAATGGCACATCTTTCCCGTCGGCCCCGGGAATCAGGAAAGACGGGTGTGCTCGTTCAGCACTTCCCCCAAACGGCCCACAGCCTGAGGATTTACGGGCCTTAAAAACAACAGAGTCTTTTAGACTCTTCCAGGAATGGGTGCTTTGTGTTTTTGGGCGTGTGATTTCAGTGATTCTAAACACTGATTTATGGTTAACTATTAGAGGTCACAGTTATCATCAGCAATAACAAAAGCATCTATTAACTAACTTCAGATAGTTTTGTATATTGGGAAAAAAGTTTGGTACCAAGTTTTTTGTTTCTGCGTATTTTGTTGACGTGAAAACTGTGAAAAAAGTAAAAAAAATTAAAATAACATTTGCTGCAAACATTAATGCACAGTTACTTTATGTTTAATGAACTTTGTGGCATGTGCAGAAGTTAGGACACCCCACTAGGTCAGTACACAACTTGTGGACGCCAGTTGTGGGTCTTTCTTGTTATAGGAATTTTCACTCACCTTGCTTGATGAACGCTTCTAGCTCTGCAATATTCTTGGGTTGTCTTGCATGCACAGCATGTTTAAGACCTACCCACAGATGTTCGGTGCTGTTCAGGTCAGGGGGCTGTGAGGGCCATTCCAAAAGCTTCACTTAGTGCATCATGAAATAGTTTATGGTTGATTTTGAGGTGTTTTTAATCTTTGTCCTCTTTTAAAGCTCAGCCTCTTTTCAGCTTCAGCATCTTGACTGTCAAATTTGCTTCCAGAATTTGCTGATATTTGGTGGAATCTATTCTTCCATCTGCCTGTGCAATGTTTCCTGACACACAACCCCAAAAAGTAACAGATCCACCCCCACGCTTAACAGTTGGCAAGGTGTTCCATTCATCAAATGCTGCTTTTTTGCCCCAAACATAGCTTTGGTGATTGTGGCTAAAAAGCTCCACTCTTTATCAGTCCACAACTCTTGTTTCCAAAATGCCTCTGGCTTATCTAGATGTTGTTTTGTAAACTTCAGTCATTGACATTTGTGATGACGTTGCAGGTAAGATTTCCTTCAAATGACTCTTCCATCAGAAGGAAATCACAAGGGAGTCAATTAAGGCCCTGTGAGTTTTGAGACTTTAAAACTGGAAAGCTGTCTAAACCTTTACACATGCCACAATTATTATTGTTTTATTTTTTTTTTTATTTCTCACTAAATATAAAGTATCATGTGCAGTGTGTATTACCATTTGTGGAAATTATCTTTAAATTGTTTGCTGGAGAGTTTGTGTTTATTTTTAATACAAAAATGAACAAAATATGTAATTTGGTGCCTTAACTTTGCATAAAATTGCTCGCAGCAAAATAACAGTAAGAGAAATCGAGAGCCATTACTTTGATTTTGCATAACTATTCAAATAATGAATTAATCACAGGGCTGGGCAAAATGACAATATATATATCGTTATTGTGATAAATTATGTTGCAATACAACAGGGTATGTTTTTGAGCATATTGTGCATATCATCAGCACTTGTAGAACACTGAGAAGCATGTTTTATCAAAAAGAAGCAAAATTAGTCCCGTTTAACTGGATTTAGTGCAACACAGCATGACAAATATTGAACAAAAAATCACTACATTGACATTATTTGTGAGTATTTTTCTTTAAATGTAGCACTACTGCTTCTTTTATCTCCATTCCAACTGATCAGATGTCTGAAAAAACAAACCTGAAAGAAGTATCGTGAAAATGTATCGCATTTAAAAGTATCGCAATATTATATTTTTGCCATATTGCCCCACCTCTAATTAATCACATAGCTAGTTACATAACAAATTTCTAAGATTAAAAAGAAATTTCACTTCTGTCAGAAACGAAACTTCTGTGCTATTATTGTTCAGTTTAAAGCGGTAGCTCAACCAAACATGCTAACATGCTAGCGTGACTGTATTTACCTAATGCTCAATGGCTTTTCCTTCATTGTTAGTAACATAAGCTTTCAGGACTGAACTACTCCATTAGCGAGTTCTCCATACGGGTGCTCAGTTCTTTGAAGTGATCTCCAGCTGACCGGGCCGCAAGGTCACGCCGAGCTACTCTCTGCACAATAAAGGAAATGTGGTCAATTATTCACAGCCCTAAATAGCCTCTGGACAGAGCCAAAAAGATAAAGTGATGGCTTAATGCCGGCCGGTGTAGTTTTTTTCAAGTGACTCCAAAACAACCTTTTGGAGAGACGCGGTCACTGTAAATATTTATCTGGTAACTCGAGATGAACGTCTGCCAAGAACATCAACTTTCCATTTCAAACTCAGGGGGATGATAACACACACGTGCTGGAGGACTTGAATGAATGAATGATTTTTTTTTTTCCCGTCATGGCTCACCGCCAAACAGACGCCGTCCTCACAGCATGCATACATTTAATCTAAGATACAAACTTTACAATTATCATAATTTCAAACTGACTTTTGAGGTTTCTAATGCTGTATGACATCTATAAAGATAGATAAAAGTACATTACATAACTAAAAACTATATATATACAGTGGAATCACCATCTTGTCCCCTTTAATTATTACATAATTAAATGGATAAGATGTAAACAGTCATTCAGAGGTCTGACATGAAATGCTCCATTCAAAAGAGACACAGTGGTGGTCACAGAGGTTCACAGTGGTGGTGATAGGAACCAGACGTCTATACCTTTTTAAAGCCTCGATGAGCAACATCACATGAAACGGTTACCAACATTTTTTCCCAGCCATTTTTATTTATTTATACTTTATTGTATTTCATTTCATTTTATTTGGCTGATTAAAATCTTAATTTGATCTTAATTATGTTACTTATCTATTTATTTATTCATTTTTATTACATTTTATAATTCTTTTACTTGAGTTATTCATATTTCAGTTTGCCTTATTTATCCCTTTGTGCTGAAATTTTATTAACTGGTTTATCAGCTATGTCGACTCTATTTTACTCCGCTCTTCTCCTTCTTAATCAAATCTTAAAATCCTAAATTTTTCTCCTAAATGAAATTCTGTTCATTTTAGTTTAACTTAATTAAATTCCATTTTAACTTCTTTCTCAATCCCTTTATGCTGTAAATGCTCAGTTGCATTGAAAACGATGGTCACCCTCAATGTATTTTTGAGTGAAAATGAAGGCTGACTGATGCCCGAGATGTTCTTTTATGAGTTTTGAGACGATTCTGACCTAATTTCGACCTGATTTACCAACATTTCCATCATCAACAATAAATATGTGTAGGTTCATACAGTGTCAGAAACCAAAGTCTATTACTAGTTAGCTACATTAGCCTCGTAGCACCAGCAAAAATCGAAAGAAGCAAACCTCTTTAGAAGAAGACACCAAACACGGCCTGATCAGCTTCGTGTGGGGTAATGGGAAAAGTGTGTAAATTTGAATATTTGCTGAACTACCCCTTTAAACCACCTGTATGTGATGAATACACAGTAAGAGATGAAACTGTATGAATTCCAACCTGTAGGTGACCCTCTCCTCGGTTCCAGGCTCATCCTTCTCCCAAATCAGTGCCACTCGGTCTGGATCCTTCGCAACGTGCACATCCAGACAGTTCACTGCCGACCACATCGGAATTAATCAATAAATCAATAACGTTTTCCACAAACAAAAATGCATCAGGTCCAAAAAAGCATGCATAATAATACACTCTCAGAAATAAGTACTAAACTGTCACTAGGGCAGCGCCCCTCTTGTCATTGGGGTGGAACCCTCAAGGGTCAGGGAACATAACTGTCCCATAATCCACTGAAATGATATGTTCTAAGCTGTACTGACTCCACACACCCCGTCTCGTCTCCAGGCTTTTATTTTACTGTTCTGTTTTAAAACATTCGGTTATGAAAAGGTACAAATACTAACTTTTCACCTGGAAAAACGTATTTAAGGTGCGCAACTGGACCTTAAAACCACTGTTGTACCTTTGAAGGTACACTTACCTTATTTGTACCTTGATGAACAAAAAATTTATCTGCACAGAACCTTCATTTCTAACAGTGTACTTAATCTAATTTAACAGGAGTAATTACGCTCACATGCAGTCGGGCAGAGTTTAAGAACAGACAATATCCACAACACGCTCAGAACAACATACTGCAAAGTAATGTGATGTCATTTATTATGATAGCGACAAATACTGCCTGAGGTCTTCTTCATTCATCATCTATCAGTGTGATGTTTGTCAGGGGCTAATCTTTTATTTTTGGAGATTGCTTTTATGAAAAGAATATCGCTGCTTTCTGAACAAAACCTCGGACTAAAGAAACGGCCCAAAATGACTTGGACCAAAAGGCTGGTTCCATTGAGTTACATTAAGAGTAAAGTAGGCTTTTTCCTTCTCCTGTAAAGTTACCATTTTGGAGAGGTTTTGCTCCGACAGCAGTGATATGTGTAGTAATAGCAGATTTTTTACAGGATTCCTGTATAAATCTTAAGAGTAAATAAAAAAAATGCTGCTTTACTACAAAATACTACATAAGACTGACATGCCACAATATATAAATCATAAATAATAAGTGATAAATCATACACAATATGCCTTTCAGAGTGCTTTGCGGCACTGAAAAAACATGTCACTCTTTCAAAAGATGTGTTCTTCAGCAAAGAAAATGGTTCTATGTAGAACTTGGAACACTTAAAGAACCTTTTGCATAGTTAAAGGGTTCTTTGCATCATGAAAGGGTTCTTGAGATTGATGCAGAATGTGCTGTGCATGGTTCTACATAAAACCTTTTTTTAAAGGGTTGTCAATAGGACCCAAAAGGGTTCTTCTATTGTTACAAGCTTGACATGGTAACAATAGAAGACCCCTTTTGGGTGCTATACACCGATCAGGCATAACATTATGACCACCTCCTTATTTCTACACTCATTGTCCATTTTATCAGCTCCACTTACTATATAGGTGCACTTTGTAGTTCTACAGTTACAGACTGTAGTCCAT